AATAGCATCACACCACCAACAACAGAAGATTTTTGGTACGTATGAATTAGTCCAAACCATCATGATTACTGGAAAAAATCTAAAAGTTGGAGATTTTTATATATCTATTTTTTATACATATATCTGCAAACTCAAAAGTCAGGCAGGACCTAAAAGCAAATCAAGCCTCTCGTGGGAAGAAAAAGAAGACAGCAGACCTTCATCAGGTTAAAGCTTAGCATATTGAAACAGATTGTTGTGGCACCCACTCCATGCAGCAACCATAACTAGGAGAAAAATTACCAAGTGGGATGCAGCCTTCATTGAAGTGAATGTCTCACCTCCACATGTGCACAAGGTATGAGCATGCGGATTCATGTAAGGTGGTGGTTTCAAACTCTGTGCTGAGAAAACTTATGGTTTCTTGGGGACTTCAAATGAGTAGATCGGCCTTTATAGACAAGGTCAAAAGAGTTCTGTGTTTGTTTTAGGGTATAGCCTTAATTCTTGCAAGGCAAAAAATAGCTAATGTGTGGCTCTCTAGATGATGTTGCACTCAAACTTCCATTAGCACCAGTCAGCATGGTCAATGATCAGGGAGGATGGGAGCTGGAGTCCAACTGATGAAGCCCAGGACGGTGAAACAAGGCCAATATTCCGGAAATCCTTGTCTTAGATTTTGTGAAAGGATTTTGTGGAACTGTAACAACCTTTCATGTGGATAGTTTGGACTTTATGAACAGACAGGTGGAATGGACACTATTACACGGATACATGAACTGACTATAGAATGATCTGATCAACTGGGTCTTCTGCTTTGTTCGTTTGTTGAACTTTATGAGTTACTTCTGTTGAAATTTACAATTCGATACTATGAATAGCATATCTTATTTATCTAAGAACACAGCCGGTTACGTCTCATGTGTTTATTGAGTATGCTTTACGTGACCATAGGTTTGTTTGCTGTTGCTGTGTCTATTGCAGACAAATTGCTGTAAAAAGTTTTCCTAGAGGGTTGAAAGTCTGGAAACTACTGGCATCAGCAATAATTCTGTATCCTTCACACAACGAAAGCCATTTCAGTAGAGCACATTTTAAATATTCTTCTTTCCCCCCTCCCCTTACACACTTAGCATTTTCTATTTCCTAGTTGCTAAGAGAAATGGAGTTAGATAATTCCCTTCAGATATACTGTGTATGTAATGAAGAAGACATAAAATGATTCTGAAGTTGCTAGTAGTTTACTTCAGTTTTCTTTCAAATCTTGATGAGCATTTCCTTTACTGCAATTATGAGTTATTTTAGTCAAGAAAAGCTGCAGCATAGGAGAAAAGAAAAAGCAAGGGGAGAGAAAAATGAAAAGATATTATGTAATGACTAAGTACTGGTTTAACAGTAGGGGCGGAAAGACATTATGAAGTATTCATCACAGTCATCTTCCTGCAACAGACAAAAAAGGTAAGCAGGGTACCGAAATTCTCCTCATCTGAATTTTTTTTAATGGATTTTGTCAATCTGAATGATGCTGTCTTGTTGCTGAAGGGGAATTGATCTATTCGGAATCTTCCACTGTTCTGTTTTTTTCCTTTATATTACCAACATTCATATGTGTGCTGATAAAACATTCTAAACAAAGCCACCTTGGTGTGACTGTTCATATGGGTGCATCACGAATCCTTGTGTGTAGTCCAAAAACAGGACTGTATACTCAGTAAAACACCACAAGAATCTTGATGCAATCGTGTGTACTATCAAATCGCTGTCACTTTTTTGTAGTGTTTCATCAATGTGAGCATGCAGATCCATAACACAGAAGGGTGGACAAATGGAAGTGTAGGCAAGAGAGAAATGCACAGAAGATATTTTTATTTGAATGGGCCAGACATATCCCCCCCCCCATGGTTACATTCAGATCTGCTTCCCTGGCCCCCGGCCATACAAAAGCACACTCAGACAGAAGCTTGGCTTTAGTCCTGATCTGGCAAGTTGGGTGTCATCTGCATTGCTATCCGGTCCTGATTGTCCATGAATCAATATTCTGATGTACTTGTATGTGAAGACCTCCCAAATAAAAACACAGTTGACACCAATATTAGTTTAAGGTTATGGGCATAATTCTGGCCACAACTTTATTGATTACAGAATGTGAGTGGTTTGCTTAGGCATTGGTTCGACTAGCTGCACCTACACCTCTGGCAGGGCAACACTAACAACTGGACACCAGCAGAAGTCAGTACGGGTAAACATACTGGGGGAGCATTGGTCCTACCACAGATGCAACCTCACCCCCAAATGATCCCAGGTGCTCTGGCATGGCCCTAACCCCTGGAAGGGGATCGGACAAAAGCATGGTGGGCACCTGGATTCCTTTAACAGAACAACCTATTGTACATTCGGAGAGGCAGGTATGATAATCTCCCCTCCACCACACCTTGAACCAATACCTAACCGCCAAACCTTACAAAGTTGTGACAATTTGCTAGACGACAGGGAAAACACAAGTGGCACCAGCCAATCAGCCAAATGGGAAAATTCCTACTGGGCCGCTGTCCCAAAAGCAGACGACCTACGAAGGCATAGCAAGGTCATAGCAAGACCCTATATATAGGGAGGGTGGGCAGGTGATCCAACGCATGAGGTGCTAAGAGGAAGCTCAATGCAATGTGCAGCAATATAAATAGGTTCCCCCCTGCTTATTCACACAAACCCATTGGCCAGAATTACCGCAGCAACCGAGGGACACAATCAGGCTGTTGTGGCTATCCAATCGCTCCCACCCACACAAACGATGAGGTCAGTCTTAGTTATCTCACCGCAACACATGCCATATGTGAAGAGGACACAATTTGCCATTTAGTTTGGCCACAGATGACCTCTAACAATGCATAGCAAAAACCCTTCTTAAAGATTTTGTGGTGTCTGGGCTGTAAGATATCTTTGGACTTTTGGACTTGCGCTCCTTTGCAAACATGCTTTTGTAAGACGTTTATGTGCCTTTTAAGATTCCAGAAGAAAAAGAAGACAACAATGCCTATTTCAAAGATAGTATTCTGCTTCACAATCATGGCTATTCTGACTGTGAAAGGAAGGTAGGAATGATGCTAGAACAGTGTTTCCCAGTGTTGGGTATCCAGCTGTTTTTGCACTACAACTGTAATCATCCCTGGCTAGCAGGACCAGTGGTCAGGGATGATGGGAACTGTAGTCCAAAAAGAGTTGGAGACCCTAGTTTGGGAAGCACTAAGCTAAAGGAATGGTGGTGATGCTACCACCTAAGGCTTCAACTACATAATAGATTCCTGCATTACTTAAGCCATGTTTTTTCTCTGGATGAAAAGCACAAATCTGGCGCAGAGCATACTTCAGACATCATCATGAACAAGTCATCATCTTGCTTTCTATCCCATTACTTCTCCTTTTGACTCCTAAAGAGATATTCTCAAACTTAGACGTCAGGCAGAGCAGCAGGATGCCGCATGAAAGCATCTTCTCCTGTTTAAAGCATTGTCTGTACTTCTGCCTTAAATCAGAAATTTGAAGTCAAATATCTGAGAACAATGTTTTGGTTGAAATGACTCCAAGAAACAGAATAACTAAAGAGAGATTTAACCAGAGCCAGTTAATGATGTGGCTTTTTTAAAATGGGTTTTTATTCTTAAAGAGTTGTGCACAAAAGAAGCCTTTTAAAATACAGCACAACCCCCATGGTATGCTGTTCAAATGTATGCATGCAGGATCCAAATATCCCAGAAGCTTCTGCACGCAAAATGTTTTCTCCAAAAAACTTATTATTCTTGGAATAGGGGATTCCCCTGCTGTACCAACATAACTTGCAGTTGCAAAAAGGGGTTTGCAAAAGTGCACAATTGTGGCTAATCACAAAATCACAGAATTGTAGAGTTGGTGAGGCATCTGATCAAGATCTGTATTATGAGGCATCTGATCAAGATCTGCTTTGAGCTTGAAAAATATATTTGTAAATATTTATATCTCTCATGCCAGGGAGAGACCAGCTGAATACTCTGGCAGCTGTTCAAGGGCCCCACTGATCTATAGCAGTATTTCAGGGTTGTAAAAGGAAATTACAGGCTGGGAGCAAAAGGTCACACTGACCATACAAATTACAGAATACAATCAAGCTGCAAAAACACAATTAAGAGCTGGTAAATAGTGAAATTTATTGTTTAACAGAAGACTCGAGCCATATTTTCATAAGGTTAAAGGGTAAATTGAAGAAGTTGCTTTTAGAAACAGCAGCTGGATAGGGAAATAGGCTTCTCTCCGAAGCTGCTTTGAAGCTTCAGAGAACTTAGAGAACTTAGCTTTTACTAAGTTCACTTTGAAAAGGCCTTTCCTTCTAAAAATCTATCTATGTTATGTATGAAATATATTGGCTTAAATGTAATTATGCAAAGGATTTAGAAAGTAAGAAATGTTAGATTCTTATGTTAGATTCTTATTTCATAGATGGTGTGTGAGAAGGTGAACTCAAGATCTCTTTAAGATAAAAATTAAAAACCATGTACCATCTGCTTTAGCCATCTGGTTTGCAGTGAATAGGGCAACAGGGGCCAAAGGTTATCTGGTAATTAAGGTGCCTGGTCGAGGTAAATGTAAGATATATGGCTACTTGTCTGCCATTTATGGATAGAAGGAAATATAGCTCTTTGTCTCCCATAAAAGGTAGTAGGAAATGGGTGTATCTTTTATGATTGGTTCTAGCAAACAACCAATAGGAATTTCAACCAGGCTGATTGGACAGAGGCAGCCAAAGGAGGAGCAAGGGGGCTGGGCTGAGGAAATATAAGTGCTGGCCATCAGGGCTGGAGTAGGCAGAGCTTTGGTATCCATATACCACTGTGTCTCTCATTTATTTGTCTGACAAATAAATTATTATTTTAATTTCTCTATTGCTGCGTTGAATATTTCATTCCAGCTAAGCGTTAACCACAAGCAGGGTGCTACATTGGAAGGGACTACTAGGGTCATCTAATTCATCCCTCTGCAATTCAGGAATGTTTTGCCCAAAGTGGGGCTCAAACCCACAACCCTGAGATTACAAGTTTCATGCTTTACTGACTGACCTATCTCAGAAAAAGAAAAAGAAAGTCTAAAGTCTCACTGGTCATGCATGTCTGCTATAAGCCACTGTCAGGGAACTGACATCAGAGCTAGAGGTGGAGGGAAGGCTCTCAAATGATGCTGGAGAAGGGCCCAGCAGGGAGAGAGGCAGCTCCGCAGATGGGGAAGCAAATCAGCGCTACACCAGGGATAAGGAGGGGCTGATGGGGGAATCAGCGAGAGGGCTCCAGGACTCTTCACCGGACACCAGCGGGGAGAGCACTGGTCCCCCGCTACCCACGCCCACCCTGCGCAGAAGACTTCCGCGCAGAGAGAGTAGGAGGAGACTGGTGTCAAACAACTTTTATGTTGGAAAAGATTTAAGAAACGCCCACTGACGGATTCTGCTAGCGACTGAGGCAGCCACGGAGTGAAGGGCTGCCCAGACTGAAAGGTTTACCAAGGCAACAAAGCCTGGAGAGGCGGCAACTTACGCACGAGCAACCCATACTCATTATAGCCACCTATAGTACACCATATCCACTAAAAAACAAAAAAAACACAAAACAACTCTCTATGGTGCAACTGGCATGGGAGGAATTGTTAAACATCTGTTTCACGCTGCCATCCTATGGCTTCTAAAAGAATTGAAGAGCAATTGCTTTTCGAGTACCAAAAGTTAGTCATCCTAGCAAAGTTACTTAAATTATTCAGATTGAGTTCAAAGACAAAATGAAACCCAGTTAACACTTTGCTGAGGAAGCTGAACAAAAATAAGGTGTATAATCTGAGAAGAAATAAACAGAGAAGTTTTGTCTTTCTTACTTCAGGCCTTGTACAGAGCAAGGAGACATTCACCCAAACATACAGAGGAAAACATCTTCAGAACTACCTTGCCAATCAGGGCACATGGGAACTCAGCATGGTTTAATGCCTCATGCATTAAACTGTTACGAAGAACAACCTCATGGCTAGCTGACTATGACACTAACAGAAATAACCCTTAATTTGCACAAGGAATGACCTCTGATGTTGTATTTCCAACAAGTCAACCTTTAAAACAGAAACATGACCTTGTTCCTAGGGCAGAAATGGCAACCCTGCTCTCTTCTCATAAAAAGCATGATTGACAAATATAAGATTGCGATGAGATAAATCAATTCGTTTGTCAACCTGTTTTAATCAATCATTTGGGCTCTCTGTGAAATTGCAAAGAAAACTTCATCGCTATTGCTGTCTCCTTGGAACCTGCACTAACCCTCAGACTTTTTTCTTAAGAATAAAGCTAGGATATATATATATAGCTCTTCCTCTCCCCTGTAGTGCTTCACATATGTTAGCATAGCAATCCTCACAGCCACCTTGCAAAACAGGCCAGGATAATTATTCCCATGTTACAGGTGAATCTAAAAAAAGACACAAATTAAACTCAGGAATAAAACAACATCAGCACAAACACGGCCCGTGAAAGAACAGATGAGTTGTATTTTTCTTCCTATGAGTCAACAGGCAGCTATGCTTAAATAGATATTTGAGTAGGGAGAACATTCCTTAGCCTATTTCGCCTGGGCTGATGAACCTTCCTGCAGCTGTAACGATCTCTTTCATACTTCACAGCATTTTACAAGTGATAGTTCACCTGCTTTATATGAAACAGTCCCACATTCAATCCTTGCTATCTCTAGTTTAAAAAACAACAACAAAAAACGGGTAGCAAGTGATGGGAAAGCTCTTTGCCCAAAGCCCTAGAGAGCATCTTCCAGTCATGACAGATGGTACCAGAGGAGATGTCAAATAGCCTGACCAGGTATAAGGCAGCTACCTATGTCTCCTCTTTTAACACCCCTGTTCTTACACCACAGTCAAGGGCCTGAGATCCATGTTATCTCACACACAGACACACAGACACATCCCTGCTGGTATTACAGATTGCTGCATGCTGTGTTCTGTTTAGCTTGCAACAGTTTCCCTGATGCTGATTCAAAAGCAGAGAGCATTTGTTCTTTTGAATGTAGATATACAAGAGATGGCTTATAATATGCAGACAGTGGTTCAGACTGAATCTCACCAGCTGCGGCTTTGCACCGCATGAACATTATAATGCCCATGTTCAAGTATTTACGTCCTTCTTCCAAACAGCTAAAGGTTCTTGAAACTGGAAGAATGGCAATTTGTCCTTCAATGGCAATTATAGGAACAAACAAAGGCAGTGATTTGTTAGAGACAGTTACAAGAACACAGAGGGTGTCTCTTTTAAATTAGGGGTGGAAAGATGGTGTCTCCCCAGAGAATTTTCTTAACAGATGAACAGACTCATACAGAGAGGCATTTTCTGAACAACACAGGTCACACACAGCTTTACTGACCTTTAAACGTTCTTAAAGTAGACCCTCACTGTGAGGGGGGAGAGATTTTCTGCTGGCCATCAGGCAATGGGTTTTTTCACCTGCCTTGTCTTAGCCTCCAGCCCTGGGAGCCTTTCCCAGACCCTGATTTTGAGAACAGATGAAGCAGCTGGGAAGAGAGAAGACAAATCCAGCAATATGTTTTAAAATAATTTTTTAAGTTGTGCATCCGTGTTTCTCAGTTTGATCCTTTTACATGGTGTTTTCATGTTCTGTGGTATTTTATGCATTGTGACTTGTCACTATTATTTTTTATAATAGTTTAGTAATTCTAGTAATTGATAAGCGTAAACTGTTTAATTCTGATTTGCTGATATTTAATTTTGCTGTTTTCTATTCTATTCTAATGGGTCATTGAATATTGTTTTATTTGATATAAGTTGTTTAGTTTAAAGTTATTGTGACTCTTATTTATTTATGATTATTACTTTATCAAAATAAAAAAAATAAAAAAAATGTATAAAATAAATAAAAGTTATTGTGACTTTTTTCTTCAGGTATACTGCTCCGAGGCCATTTAGGGCTCTTTGAATTGTGCTTGGAAATGTAATTTAAAACAATTTTAAGCAACCTCACCCCCAAATAAAACAACACCCAGCCAAGTTAAAACCCCACCCCAATTGAACAACAATTTTAGCACAAGCGAGCCAGCCCACACCCTTGCTCTACCCCCAGTATAGCACCCCCAAAGGGCAGTAGCAAGGACAGTAAATTCCCCAGACCACTGCATAATAGATGATGAGTGTTTATCTTTCCAGACTTGGATGATAAGTCTCCTAGATACTACACAGATGGCCAATCCTCCATTGTTAGTTTGTTGTGTGCCTACTGTTGGTTTGCCATGCGCTTACTGCTAGCTTGCACACAGCCATGACACCCCAGTGAAATTCTTCTTACAAAATGTTATCTTAGGCCATAGCTGTCAACTTTTCCCTTTTCTTGCGAGGAATAAGGGAATTCCCCTTAAAAAAAGGAAAACATTGACAGCTATGTCTTAGGCTAATGCACATTTACCACTGTATGCACGAGTTGTTTGTATGAAATCCACACATACCCCAGAAACACTACATTTATCGTCTGGCTCCCCCCCCCCCCATTTTTCCTAAGCTTTGTTCATACAGCCTCCCAGTAGCTGGATCCATGTCCTCCCTGGATACTTTACAAATGAACTCAGTTCTGAAGACTTTTTCATGCATTCATCTGTCAGTCACATCAGACACATTGTGCCCTGGCACCATAATTAGTATTCTGCAGTGGGGACCCTACCTGTGCCTGGAATTACATCTATGCGGATCATGGCAGGGAGGAGGGTCTCCCAACAGATCTTGCTATGACAGGCTGCACAAATCAATTTTCATTAATTCTGCCTCTTTAAATCTGTCTCCTCTTTTGGAAAGATTGTTATCTGCATCAGACAACTATGGCAAGATAATTAACAAAAACACTGCAGGATGCTGATAGCACCAGCAGCCAATTTGCTTGGCAATGGTCTCTCTCTCTCACACACTCCTTTTTATAAGTGAGCTGGGTTAGAAATAATACAACAGATCTTTGCAGAGTGACATCATGTATAAAATTCCAATACTAATCCAAAAATAATACCTTCTCAAATTTTAATTATGTAGCGTCAAGGAAGGATTAATGACTCGGAGTTTCTGACAAACAACTTGAGCGTTACATGGCCCCAAAAATGTTCACCATAAGATTGACAGCTCAGAATCAGTGTCTCGGGGCTGCTCTAAAGTTCTTGGGATGGGGGGGGGGCTGTAAGCTTATCAACCACTCTCTTTTGCACACTACTTGACATTCACTTCAAGCCATCCACTATATAACCCTGATTTCACAGAGGTAATGATGTCTCAGTTGCATGATGCAATTTCAGTTTCCATCAATGGCTGAGCCTGGAGAAACTACAATTCAGCGCGGCAATGACAATGCAATGTGTTGACATCACCAGTGATCTGGCATTTGTTTGACATATTCCATTAGCGCCTTAAGTAGTTAAGGCTTGTGTAACAAGTGTATGCTCAGCAAACACAGGCCTTCTCTCTCCTCCAAGTTTTATATGTCTCAATCACAGCTAGGAAGGAAACAATTCCAATAATGTGACAAGGGGGAAAAAAGAAATCAATAGACATTTTAAGGGCGAGACCAAGTCAAGGGTTGCTTCTAGCACTACATTTCTCCGCTCACATTTAAAATTCTCCTGCTCTCGTAAAAACACCACTTCATTAATTGGATAGCGGGGGTTCAATGGAGTCATTCTGTTTGGCAAGAACTCCAAATGAATGTAGAACAAGTAAGGATTTTGTACTTGCAGTTCAGGTGTGCATAAACTACAAAGACGGTATTTGGGGTCTGTAGTGACCCCAAGGTTTAACCCCCATGGGATACTTTTTCTTAACAGCTGCATCAACATAACACGGGCTATTAATTGAACTGGTGTTTTTTATATATATAAAAAATCACTTGGGCGGTACATAAACTTCAAGACATTGGACTGGAAGGGTTTCTTTTCACCCCAATTCACTTTAAATGTGGTTTTACTGATCACTGTATCTTTAGTAAAAAAAAATTCAAAAACCCCACAAAAAAAACAGAAAAGCCATACACATAATATAACAGAAAAGGGGCTGAAAGACTGCAGAGGAATTTAACTCCTTATGGCAGGTCTTATTGTGGGTCTCTTTCTTTCCTCCTCTCCTCCTCCTGTGCCTCTGCCTTTTTTCTGTCACCTTCCCTGTCTAACCCTTGTGCCTAGAAAAATTGTGTCCTCCCTAAAAGAGGTCACGTGTTGCACTGAGACCTGGAGGCTGACTTCCCGGTTGTGGGTGGGTTTATTGGACAACCACAACACCCGATTGGTAGGTCCCTTGTTGCTAGGTTTAATCTGGCCAATGGGGTGCAGTCTAAACTGATTGAGGGACCTATATAACTATATACCTATGCATGTGACCCAGAGCTTCCTCTTTCAGTGTGTGCATCAGAACACCCGCCCACCTCTCCCTATATTTAGGGCTGTGCACTTGACCTCGCTATGCCGTCGTGTGATGCCTGTCATTTGGACGGGGCACAGCAGAAATGTTCCCCACTTGGCTGATTGGCTGTTGCCATTTGGGTTTCACCTGCTGCATAGCAAACCATCACAACTTGTAAGATTGTGGATAGGCACTGGATAGTCTTGCTCTCCTGGCTTCAGCGAAAGAAACCTGAAACCTCTGGAACGCAGCGGGAACTCGCGCTGTGCTCCAAAGGCTTCAGGCGGCTATCCCTGAAGCCTGGAGAGTGAGAGGGGTTGGTGCACACCGACCCCTCTCACTCTCCAGGCTTCAGCGAAAGCAATGCGAAGCCAAGGAGCGAGGAGGGAGCGCTCCCTCTGCGCTTCGGAGGCTTCGCGTTGCTATCACTGAAGCCAAGGAGCCTGCATTCGCTCCATAGGACGCACACAAATTTCCCCTTAATTTTTGGAGGGGAAAATGTGCGTCCTATAGAGCGAAAAATACGGTAATCTGTTCCCGGGCTTTCCACCTACCTCAGGTGTTCACCCTTGGCTGACCTATGATAGAGCTCTGGGTCAGCGCTACCTGCAAGGGTTCAGGGAGCTAGTCGAACCAGAGCCTATGCAACCACTCACTTTTCTGTAATCAATAAAGTTGCAACCTAAAGTCTGCCAAAAACCAAAACTAAAATTTGAGTCAAATGTGTGTTTATTTAGGGTGGAGATCTCTGGGTCTGAACACGCAAATGTAGTTGATGTTGATTGAAATGATATACACAGGGCGATTTACAGCATAAAAACACAGAATAACTGGTTTGCAGCATCAACCCCGCCATGCGGGAATCCCTTGTATCTAATCCAATCCAAATAACTTTATTGTACTAGCCATTCCAATATGAATCGGAAATAAATACAAGCAAAAGAGATGCCACACCACAAACAATAGTCTCCATTTAGATCTCTGTTTAGATCTTACAGTTCACTGCTATATAGTCCAGGGCCTTCTTTCTGATCTTTTTGGCTGCCAGAGCAAAAAGGGTGACTTTGTGAGTCATTGAAGTGTTTACATTGCTAAGAAGCCATAGGGCTTCATCTCTGCTGGGGAGAGATATCTTTCCTGTATGGACGGTAGGGTAAGAAAGCGCCTCTTGGGTCCAGTGTATAGTGGGCAATACAGTAAAAAGCGCATGATGTCTTCCACCTGCAGTTGCCCATGTATACAGAGTGGATGATGCAGTGCCTGGAGACAGACAGTCAGGTCGTACATCCTCAGCAGAGACCAAATGATGAATGACCGCTGAAGGAGCACAGAAAGAAGAAACACCATGGTTCATCTGCAGCAGCACAACCAGACACCTTCATCTGCCCCAGCTGCAACAAAACATGTCTGTCCCGTGTTGGTCTTTACAGCCACAGCAGGCTCTGTAAATTTCCAACAGTGTGACTTCACCCGCAAAAGGCACACTCCTTCATTGTCTCCCAAGACAGATGATGTAATAATAAGAGAGGGGGGAAGAGAACAAGACCTGCTCCCTGAGACATTTATAAAGGCCATAGGCCTGTGAACTATAAAATATCTGAACAGGAAGTAGAAGGTGCCATTCAAAACATGCAATTAGGCAAATCTCCAGGACCGGATGGGCTGACTTCTAGATATTATAGATCTTTGAAAGAGTGGCTATTACAACCTTTAAAGGAAGTCTGCAATGAAATATTGGAAGGGAAAAGGGCACCAGAGTCTTGGAAAGAGGCGTACATTACACTTATACCGAAGACAGAGACTGAAAAGACTCAGCTTAAGAACTACCGCCCCATATCGTTACTTAATGTGGATTACAAAATTTTTGCAGACATTTTGGCCAAGAGATTGAAAAAAGTATTGATGGAAGAGATTCATAAAGACCAAGTGGGCTTTCTCCTGGGAAGACACTTGTCCAATAATTTGAGGAATATAATTGATATTTTGGAAAAACTAGAAGTGAACATAAATACCAAAGCTGTTTTGATATTTGTGGACGCGGAGAAGGCTTTTGATAATATCTCTTGGAGTTTCATGAAGAAGAACCTACAGGGGATGGGGGTAGGCCAAGGTTTTGAAAACAGTATAAGTGCAATTTATTCAGAACAAAAGGCTAAACTAATTGTAAATAATGTGGTGACGGAAGAATTTAAGATAGAAAAAGGGACAAGACAAGGTTGCCCAATTTCCCCATTGCTTTTTATATCGGTCCTGGAGGTTCTGCTGAACATGATTAGAAGGGACCGGTTGGTTAAAGGTATACAGGTCGGAGCCAAACAGTACAAACTGAGAGCATTTGCAGATGACTTAGTATTGACGTTACAGGAGCCAGAATCTAGTACCAAAAGAGTTTTAGAACTGATTCAAGAATTTGGTCAAGTTGCAGGATTTAAGTTGAATAAGTTAAAGACCAAGGTTTTAGAGAAAAATTTAACACCAATGGAGAGAGAGAGGTTTCAGAATGAGACAGGTTTAACAGTGGTTAAGAAAGTTAAATATTTGGGGATTAACATGACAGCAAAAAATGGGAACTTATTTAAAGATAATTATGAAAAATGCTGGGCTGAAGTGAAAAAAGATTTGGAAATTTGGTCAAATTTGAAGCTTTCACTGCTGGGCCGTATTGCTGCGGTAAAAATGAATGTATTGCCTAGAATGTTGTTTTTGTTTCAAACATTGCAAATTGTGGACAAAATGGACTGTTTCAAGAGGTGGCAGAGAGATATTTCTAAATTTGTCTGGCAGGGCAAGAAGCTTAGAATAAAATTTAAAATATTAACAGATGCAAAGGAAAGAGGTGGATTTGCCCTGCCAGACTTTAAACTTTACTATGAATCAGCAGCTTTCTGCTGGTTGAAAGAATGGTTGCTTCTTGAAAATACTGACATTTTGGATTTAGAAGGTTTTAACAATGTATTTGGATGGCATGCATATCTGTGGTATGATAAGGTCAAAGCGCATAAAGCATTTAAAAACCATATTGTCAGGAAAGCATTGTTTAATGTTTGGATAAGATATAAGGACTTATTGGAAAACAAAACTCCAAGGTGGCTGTCACCGATGGAAGCAAAAGCTTTGAAAAAGCTCAATATGGAGGCCAAATGGCCGAAATATTGGGAAATTTTGGAACAAGATGGAGATAGACTGAAATTGCAGAGTTTTGAGAAATTAAAAAACAAAGTGCGAGACTGGCTTCATTATTATCAGATAATGGAGGCATATAATCTGGATAAGAAAATTGGTTTCCAGGTGGAAAAATCAAAATTAGAAACAGAACTATTAGAACCCAAAACTAAGATTTTGTCAAAGATGTATAACTTGCTGTTGAAATGGAATACTCAGGATGAAACGGTGAAATCTGTTATGATTAAATGGGCACAAGATGTTGGTCATAACATAATGATGGCTGACTGGGAACAGTTATGGACCACAGGTATGAAGTTTACGGCATGTAATGCCCTAAGAGAGAATATTATGAAAATGATTTACAGGTGGTACATGACCCCAGTCAAGCTTGCAAAAATTTATCATTTGCCCGATAACAAATGTTGGAAATGTAAAGAAACTGAAGGTACATTCTTTCACCTTTGGTGGACATGCCCAAGGATTAAGGCTTTCTGGGAAATGATATATAATGAACTGAAAAAGGTACTTAAATATACCTTCTTGAAGAAACCAGAGGCCTTTCTCCTGGGCATAGTCGGTCAATTGGTGCCAAAGAAGGATAGAACCTTTTTTATGTATGCTACAACAGCAGCAAGAATACTCATTGCAAAGTATTGGAAGACACAAGATCTACCCACTCTGGAAGAATGGCAGATGAAGCTGATGGACTATATGGAACTGGCAGAAATGACTGGCAGAATCCGAGACCAGGGAGAAGAGTTGGTGGAAGAAGATTGGAAGAAGTTCAAAGATTATCTACAGAAATATTGTAAAATTAATGAATGTTAGAACGATGTTGGATAGAAATTAAGTGGTTTCTAGCTGTAATGCTTTAAGGGAATATGAAAAAGGGGTTGTTAAGAGGTAAAAATCTAATGTTACTATTTTAAGACCAAAGATTAGGATAAACAAAGAGGGTAAGGATTTGCTGAACCAACAAACTGAACTGGAATACAAAAAGGGAGGTTTGAGGAGGTCCGGGAAACAAGCTAAAGAAAAATAAGCAATGGAAAATCTGAGAGTTTTTAATCATTTTTACTTTTTATTTTTTTTCTTTCTCATCTTTTATCTTAAAAAAAAATCCTAATAAATATCTTATAAAAATAAAAATGCCATAGGCCTGGTTGAGGAAATGTTTTCTAGTGTTTCCAGCTATGAAGGCGATAACAGAGCGAGCATGTTCCACATTGGTCATCTGCTCTGCTGAGCATCTTAAAGATCTTAGCAAGATCATCCGAGAGTTGGACTTGACTGCCTTTGCGTACTGCTACTTTAACCCAGAAGCGCTTGATGTCATCGGACTCGGTGAAATCACTGAATTATCCAGCATTTCAGACACTGGTACAGAGAAAAGGGACAGAAAATGAAACAGGGGAGATAAGAGAGACATTTTCCTCCCTTTTTGGTCATTGGCATCACTGCCACTGGAACATCGTAAGTGACATCAGAGCAGCAATGAGGATTGGTAACTAAGGATATCTAAGGATCCCAGTGGAAATGAGAATGGAAACTGCCACAATTTGCATGTTGCTCAAGGTCAGAAATGGAAATCATGCAAGTGAAAATCAATGGTATCCACTATTGTTACTTTAGCTCACAAATGTTACATAAATACATTATTTTCTGCATTGTTCTTGACATTTGCCTTCCATTGTAATTACAGTGGTACCTCGGGTTACAAACATTTTGGGTTACAGACTCCGCTAACAAGGAAGTAGTACCTTGGGTTAACAACTTTACCTCAGGATGAGAACAGAAATTTGGCGGCGGCGGTGCAGCGGCAGTGGGAGGCCCCATTAGCTGAAGATGTACCTCAGGTTAAGAACAGTTTCAGGTTAAGAACGGACCTCCGGAACGAATTAAGTATGTAACCAGAGGTACCACTGTATAATAATTACTTGCATTGGTTTGGGTTATAGCTGATAGTGAGATGTAGGTTTAGAGGAAGGCAAGCTGCAGCAGAATGGAAACAGCACTGATTGCTGCAAGCTCAGGGTGAGACAGGATGTACACATGGAAGCAGACTTTTGGACCCAGCCACTGACTTTCAAAAGGTAGCATAGGAAGAGGCCTGTTAACTACGGAATGGAATTATTCATATTTCCATCTAATTTGTTGAGAAGTCACTCCAACTAATATTCTAATAATGGTCTCGGGACATAATTTGAAGGCCCAATATACAGCAACCTCACTGATCCTAAGCATGTGGGGTGATGGGTACCTATATGGGAGACTCCCCTGGTATCCTTGAAGAACAGTAGAATATAAAACAACAATCCAAGGACAACTCAATGAAATCTTGTAAAAAAAACACACCTTTCATCTGCAGGTTATGTCATTCAGCCATACATATAAAGCTCATCCTGCTTTTCAATCACACTTCTTTTACTTGATTTTCCTCTACTGTGACATATAAACAGATAGAAGCCAAGCTCATAAAAGAAAGTGAAATATGAGGCTTTCTAAGCCTTTGCATTTGTCTATTGTAAATAGCTGCCCATCTAAAGGAGCCACCTCAGAAACTGGAGATATCAGAGAGAATAATGATCATGTTTACTTATCCATATGTGTTTCATGCTTTTTGGCAGTTTCCCAGATGTGGAGGCATTGGGGAGTCGGAGGCTGAATTGCTCTTTGTTTTCATGACTGTGCTGTGCTTTTACAGAAAGGTGCCTGTGAGAGTCATTCTGATGATCAAAAGCAGGTTCCCGGGAGGAGAAAAAACAAAATGAAATGTCCTGCTTGTGGGAGTGGTATACTTGTGTGACCAGTTTAAGGGGGGGGGGGGATAAAGAAAAATCACACGTTGTGGTTCTTCTTCCATGAAATGAAATGTTATGTTATTCATACAAGTGAACACCTTTTGGTGAGCAGCTTAATTTTTAAAAGCATCACAAGGCCACGTAAAAGATTACTGCTAGGAGGAACAAGCTGGACACTGAGCAGATGGCAATGATCAGGTAGACATTGACATTGTCCACCAAAGGCTTTGAGCTTTCACCTGTCCTGAAAAGGGTGTCAGTCTTAACAGCCTGGGCACTTGCCACCAGTGACAAACTCAGTGTGGCTGTGGCCATGTGCTGGTCCCGGGGGCGGGGGGATACCGTGAGGCGTGGTCAGAGTCCGGTCCTGGAGTCGAGGGTCTGGAGACTGTCCACCAAGGGCAAAGTGGGGTCCAAAGCAAGAAGCCAGGTGTGGTCGGGAACTCCGGAAAAACAGGTCTGGGTGCTGGCAGCAACAGGTTTCCAACGACGTTGCTCCCGCAACCTAGGACTGGGCTGACTGGCCTTTATCTCCTCTGGGGCCTAGGGCGGTCCCAGCCCACAGGTGACTCGCCTCTCCTGGCCTTAAGGCGAGCACTCCTCCTGATAGAACTTAGTTCCCTCCACCTCTCTGCCCTGAGCCTCTGTAGCTCAGGAGAGGCTGGAGGGTTACTGGACCCAGAGGTCGCCTCACCTTCCCCTGACAGGGCTGGGAGAGGAGCACGTGCAGGCAATGGGTCCTCAACCACCCCTGGAGCCAGAGTGGATTCATCTGGTGTCTGCTCCTGAGGATCCAGCACAGGTGTGGGCCTTTCAGATTCAAGGCCCTGCCCCGGCTCAGCCGGCCCTGGAGGCAGGGACTACTGTGCAGGCTGGGATTCCTCCGGTTCAGCCTCTGAATCAGATTCCCAGGCCATCACAGGCCGTGAGTGAAGGTGTGCCATGATCTTTCACCAACACAAGGAGAGTCTGGCTGCTTCTGCTCTCCACCTCACCGAGGGCACGTGTGGTACTGATCTCCCCACTGTACAGCCCCACACACCAAGGGCCAGCGGTCAACTCATGCATCTCATATCGCAACCATGCATTGTACCCTGAGTCAGCATCCAGGGCACGGATCTTGCCCACCATGTGTCCAGACAATACAGGAGCCACTAGAACAATTGGAGTCTCTTCTGATGACCCAGCCACTGTAGGTGCATTGTCATTCTCATCCACCACAAACACCTGAACTGTAGTGTTGCCACACAAGGAGGGCAACCCGGCATCTTTGGACCTCACATGGAACTCCAGTATCATTATCGTAATGCCATTAAGGGGGAGTCTGACTGAAATGCATCCTGCCATTGTAATAAGAAATTGGAAGCACAGGGTCTATGGCTTATAGTTAGAAAAATGCTTCAGCATAGGTAAAGGTAAAGGGACCCCTGACCATTAGGTCCAGTCCTGACCGACTCTGAGGTTGCGGTGCTCATCTTGCTTTATTGGCCAAGGAAGTCGGCGTACAGCATCCGGGCCATGTGGCCAGCATGACTAAGCCGCTTCTGGCGAACCAGTGCAGCGCACGGAAATGCCGTTTACCTTCCCGCCGGAGCGGTACCTATTTATCTACTTGCACTTTGATGTGCTTTCGAACTGCTAGGTTGGCAGGAGCAGGGACCGAACAACAGGAGCTCACCCCGTCGAGGGGATTCAAACTGCCAACCTTCTGATCGACAAGTCCTAGGCTCTGTGGTTTAACCCACAGCGTTCAGCATACCCTCCAACATTTCTCTGATGAAAATAGGGATGTCCTACTCAATAATAAGAATGATGATGATGATGATGATGTCTATTATTTATATGCCACCCATCTGGCTGGGTTACAACAGCCACTCTAGGTGACTTGCAACATATATAAAAACATGATAAAACATTAAACATTAAATGACTTTCCTTTACAGATGTTTTCTAAAGATTGTATAGTTACTTATCTACTTTGCTCGGGGGTTACACAACTCCATACCCTCCAACATTACTCCAATGAATATAGGGACTTCCTAAGGAAAAGTGAGACATTTGGGGATCAATTCAGAAACTGGGATGGCTTCTGTAAATCTGAAAATGTCCCTGGAAAATAGGGACACTTGGAAGGTCAGCTTCAGTAGACTACTTGGAAAATTGGCAGTATAGGAGTGAAAAGCTTGAGGGTGACAGATGCCAAATTTGAGGTAAAAAGATAAGAGATGTTTTATTTAGAGCAAATTAAACAATTGACAACAGACTATGGCATGCTAACAAGTGCTGTGTGCTTTTCTTTCATAGACTTTGCTAGAGGTTTTTCCAGAAACTTTTCTCCATTCTGGAGAATGCTTTGTGTAGCATGTGCTATTGTCAAAGACTAGTGAAACATGGTTGCCAATGTTATTAAAATGCTTTTGTTTCCCCAGCTTGTGAAAGTCATTGGGCTTGCGAGTTGTCACCTGCTGCTGCTAAGTAATGGTTTCTGGCCAATCTTAGCTCTGGAAGTATGGAAATTTGCCATTGCCAGGCAAGATTGCCATAGATCAGGCCTCAATCCTGAAGAATTTACAGTTAGACGTTAGATGTGAAAGGAGATGGGGAGAGGAAATCACAAGTGATGGAAACATATAGTTTGGGAAGCATAGAGAAGGGAAAAGTATATCTGAGGTGCACAGTGGCTGGTTTTTGATTATCAGTTTTTGAACGTACAGAAGAGTCCTCAGGAAAAAAAGTGCCAGGTAGATTTAGCAGGCAATTGTGTGACTATTTCCTTCCCTGCCCCCATTGCAATATTTAAAGGCTGGGCTTGCCAGCTGACCAGAAATTCTCCTGTTGGGCCTGCTACTGTGTCTCAAAGAACCATGCAACATGCAGAAATCAGCCTGGGTGGTTGTATGATATGAGAGCCAACATAACTCTTGCCTATGCCAACCAAAAAGTCAGGAGCTAGTAAAAGTTAGCAATGTTGTTAAAGACAGGGGAGCCCGGTTAGGATAAACGAACATTTGCTACTCTTATTTCTAAGCTCCACCCAATTTTTAAAAAATGAATTGGTTGCAGCAGATTGTTAGGGGAAGAGCTGCACCCACTAAAAATTGGCAACTCAAAGATACAAGAGTCAGGGACAGAGGGAGGTAAATGTAGGGGTGGCTGTGTAGCTTTATCTACTCAATTTCCTCCTTTTCTCTTGTACCCTTTAAAGGATAGGCTTGTCAAATGTTCTGAAATCCCTTCAGTTCTTTGGCTAATTCCGCCAAAAAGAAAACCTAACCAAAACTCTGTGGGGGAAGATGGACTGAAGGAGTAAGGAGAAATGTTTCTCATTTCCTCCATTAAGCATGGGGTTGGACTATATTATATTCAATAACCCTTCTATCTCTGCCCCAAGCAACTGATGAAGCTGGAATAAGTGTAAGGAAGGACACCATACTATATCAATATTGCCTGAAGAACATATCCTGTAAGAGTATGCCTCTTAAGAGCTGAAATTTCCTGGCATTTTGGAGCTTGTGTGAACGTGAGAAGCTCTTCAACACATCGAGTTAAATTGGAAGAGTTTTGTTGTTAATGCATTTTTTAACTGACTGCATTTATACCCTGCT